TTTTGTATCTTTATTCGATAATTTTAAAATACTGAACATTTATTTAATATTATCCAGTACTATTGCAATCGAGAATTAAGAATAATTATTTTGTGGACGAACTACTGACAATTCGTAATTTCCCAAATGCGTTATAAACAGTTTTCAGTGTATCGTTTTACTTTATGCTGTTTGATGAAGTATTCTTTTTGTATCGAAACTAGAAGATTCTGAATATCAGAAATCGATGAAATGATAGAATTTGGATTATCCGAGTTAGTGTGAAACAACGCTGCGTTGAGTAAAAAATATAATGTAACAACCTGGGAAGAATAGCTACAGCTGTTTTACTAATTTTGGACATTCCACTGCTTGTGTCGAATGGAAAGAGAGTGAGAGCGCGCTTTTACTCTGCATCAGATAAAAGAATGTCTGGAAAAAACAAAAGGAAAATATGAAGAATCAAGATGGTAAAATGGGATATTTCACTTAGCCGCAATTAGATGAAATGAAGAAAATTTAAAGTTAATTAAATTTTAAATAATGAAATTTAATTGCGAACAAATAAATGATTAATTATTGCTGCGAACTAATCAACAATATCATTTAAATTCTGAGAGCACATGTAAATCAAGTAATACTTTATTTACTTATTTAATGCGTATGAGGAAGCAGCTGGCAGTCGTTATGGCCGGGATTGAAAGAGCTTAGACGAAGATGACGGAACTGATTTTTTATAAATCACACAAAAAAAGAAAATATTCTGAAAGGTTTTCAGATTTTAAATTACGTCCAATTTTTTTCCAGTTTGCGCCAACAATAATTCACTTAGCGGAATTCTTAATTTATAGTATACTTACTTTTCTTGTTTTTCATTGATGCAACGAGAGGAAAAAAGGTCCATCGTTCATTCTTTCAAATAATTTTAACAAAGTGCGTAAACCATATTTTTGTTATTATCGCTCATATTAAATACTCCAAATTTCAAAACGCGCCAAAATGTAAATTCACGTATGTCTTTAGATGATGGCAAAATTTTGCATGTTGTAATTCAGAATGTTTTTCGAAAAATATATAAAAATTATTTAAAAATAAATCATAAAAGATGGGCGAATTTCATTTGGAATGAAACTAAATTTTAAAATCTGAAAGGAAGAATCAAATAAGTTTATTAAAAAAAGAGAGATTAATGAATATATATCAAATTTAATTAACACATTGAGGAGCTAAAAATTTGAGTGCCAGTTATTTTAAAACTACTGCTGCGATTTTTACAAATGTTGGCAGTTTGGCATAATTTGAGTCGTAGAATCGAAGTATGGAAAAAAAAAATTGGCATGTCATTTCAGAAAAAGTCCGATTTTGCGTCAAAATACCTATATTAGAACAATGCTATATATAACTCTAATACATATCCTAAGTCGCGCTTTCTAGACTCAGAAGGTTCTAGATGCTAATAATGGAGTTAGGGTTATATTTTAATTTCCATTGGTTGATTGATTAAGGTGCAAAATTTAATATTACTATTGGCTGAAAGACTTTTTCCGTTATGTAAGAACATGCGTCCCGAAAGTTAAGCATGTTACTATTTTTAGAATAGAAGGGAAAAATAACCAAATTTAAAAGCAGACATAAGGAGCAATTTCAAATTAAAGTTAGAAATTAATGTTACACACAAACGGTGATGATGTTCTGAAATTTCGACTCATTAAACGCTAAGCAGAAAATGCTTTGCTAAAGTTTCCCTGTGAGCATTTTCTTTGGGCCAATTCACCACACAAGGGCATTCATTAGAAATTATGTACAGGTCGCAGTAACGTCGTTCGTAATCATGTACGTCGTTCAGCTGCAGGCTTTCCTCAAATAATTTACGTGCTATGGCTAACAAATATAGCAGCTGATATCTTGAAGCTCGGGCAGATGTACTCCACAAATGGTTTTATCTTTCTTTTTTTTTTCCTAAAAAACTTGAATCATCGCAGCAAGTGTGACATCGAGATTATTCGATTACTGTGTTCCTGCTTCTTACAGATAGTAGAAAGATGAATGGTGTCGAGTGAATTCCAGTTGGTGACATTACCTCTTGCCCTTCTTCATTCACTCGGCCATTCCTTTCTGTCCTCTGGCATTCGGTTATGATGCTTTATACGTGTAAATAACAGTCGCATTAAAATTCTTTTCGTGCTAACGCCTTTTACGAGAAAATATGAGTTTGAGATCTTTTACATAAGCAATTCTAGATCTTGCATAATGTAAGGTTATGATTAAACACGAGATATTACTTTATGCCTTTTTTCCCATTTCTCGTTTGCCATCGTTATGCTTGTTACGTTATACCATCAGGGTATTTATCATTCACTCGGCTTGGTGAATTGCTATTGCTGCCATTCGAAACTACAATCATCTTTAATTTATTTTTCAAATTAAAACCATACATAGCTTTACTAATTGATTTAAAAGCAGTGTATTGTATTTCTTAACAATTACCATCTTTATTTTTTGTTTCATTCATGTTTAATTTTATTTATATGATTTATACTTAACTGGTAATTTTTATAAACATTTATATTATTGTTGCGTGCCTTACGGTTTCGTAATAGAGTGAATGCACACAGGTCACACATATGCAAACATATTGATTAATAAAATTTATTTTTATCAAAAGATATGTTTCAGAGCTCTTGAATTTTCCACAGAAATATTCGTACAAGGGTAACATTATCACACAGTACGATAAGTAGTTACCCTTCAACAACTAAGAACGTTAAACACAACGCATCTAAAGAGAAAGCTAATCCAGTCTCACACTGAACTAACAATAACAACAACAACTAATTAAGAGCAGATGCTCTCTCTTCAGACTTATATAGTTATCACCCAGCCGCCGATATATTTCTAGTACTTTCTGCTTCTCGAAATTACTAGAAAGCAATATGAGGTTTGAATTACGGTTGCAGCTAACATAGTGGTCAATTACATTTGTTCAGTTACAGTACCTACTACGGTAATACAATGACCGGACCAAAATATCGCCAAATTTGGCGACAAAACAAGTTGCCAAAACAGTTTTTAGATTGGCGATATCTCACCAAATTACCGACTTGCTCATTTACTCAATTTTAAATGCACTTCTCTTGTATTCTTACTTTTCCAGCATAGCTTCTCTCTTTTGATTTTTTACGTTGCATTAAGCAGCAAAATACAATAATTTTACAGATGATTGCACTAAAATCATCTATTTATGTACAAAATTACGTAAACGTTATTGTTGCACACGAGGAAAGATCATTTTGGACCCGTATATCGCACAGCTGGGAACGTAATATTTGCTTGCGTGCTACCTTACAATATGTTTTCATCTCTAAAATAATCACAATCATACTGTGACAGTTGTAGTTTAAAACCATAAATAAAAGGCATCAAGATCACCACTTCTCCCTCAGTTAGCTTCTTTACTTTAACTCAATTTAAAATTTCTAATAATAATGTGAAGAAGATTAGGTACAAAGACACTTTTTTCAGGCTTCTGGGCTTAAGCCATATCCTGAATGTAACGAATAGCAATTATATAACTTTCTGTACGCGTAACATATCAAGTCCTTAACTGAGAGTAAAATTCTCCTGGGATATAATAATGTGAAATGATTCTGACCGATATATGACAAAGAAGTGGAAAATAAACTAACCCATTTTAGCATATTATTAACTCATTAAGCATCAATTTCCAGACTCGATGTTTTATTGCTAAAAGTGAGTTTATTTATTTTTCTTTTCAGTCATGTTATTGCTATTTCATTTTTCTTGTTACTATCACCATTTCACATCGTTATTTAAAATCTTAAAACAAATTGAGATGAAAGTTTATTTTATTTTACTTTTATATTCTGTAAAACAATCAAGAAGTGGCATTTTGCTCGCTATTATGGACTGATTTTTTTAACCTATCACTTTCAGGCTGGAAAATTATACACGTTGATAGAATTTCATACATATGTGAAAATAAATATTATTTGTGCTTGCTATGCTGATGATAAAATACTGCAGTTTTAAATCAATCTTAAGTCATTTCTGCATATGGGACAGTTATAAAAAAGAAATCAAATATATAAAAAAGTTTTTCTAAGCTACATTGTTTTTGTTAAATGCACTAAAATGTAAATAAATACATTTCAGCTAGCATAATGTTTTTGTTCACGTGTGATTAAAAGTAATATCGAGAGGTTGCTGACAACAGCGAATTTTAAACTAAAACTGTTAAAAAGAAATTTGGTGCTGCTTCAATATAATCATTCTTTTAGTATGCCATTTTTATTGTTCCATGAAATATATTAATGTCCTAATACAGTTTTTGTGTAAGCTCCTGATTTTATTTTGGTCACATATAAGCAAGAATATTTATTTATTTATTTTTTTTTTTTTAAGTACATTGAACTAAGATCGTGCAACTTAAAAAGGTTATTATAAATTTTACATTAGACCTTTCCTTTCTACTGAATGCGAAAAACCAATAAAGGAAATCATGTCCCTGAATATAGAAACATTACTCCTTCTAATCAAAGTAGCAACAATTTACAAAAAGTATACTGCATCGAATCACTATACTATAAATGCCTTGTTTCACTTTTACTGGAATCTGCTGCCATTCTGCAAAATGTAAGATATTTATTTATCTTTCAAATTGAAGCCGTCTGCTGTTAATTAACAAACTAAGCTATTTGAAACCAGTCGATGTAGTTCTTTATAATATTCGTTTTTTACTTTTAAATCGGATTGAATTAAATAATAGTAATAAAAAAAATCTGAAAGCTTTCAGATTTTACATTACCCTCAAAGGGGCGTTTTTTTAACCTTTTGTGTGTTTAACCTTTATTTATTAAATATCATGTTTTCTATCGCTATACAATTTGTATTTGTACAATTACATAAGTAATTACACTGAGTTACACACTTTTCATTTATTTATATGTAATGTGTTCATTCTCTCGTGTATTATTTTTTTTATTTTTTATTTTCTTTTTCAGGTAAGTCTGATTTTATACTTGAGTTATTAGCGAAAATGAAAATAAGTAAGGTAGGACTCAAATATGGTTTTATCAATGTCATAGACTTCTGTATTATTTTTACTTTAATTTTTGTTTTCGATTTTGGTCAATTATGATTTGAACTGAATCTATAAGTATGCATTAACTATATTTTTAATATTCATTTTAAAACAAAAATTTCTCACATTAACTAATGGTAGATCACGGTAGAGGTTTAGCTTCCACTGATGTTGGCTGTCGCGATTTGGATATTGCTACAAAATTCCATGACCGGCTTGGGATTATTTTTGTGGTGGTGACGATAATGCGCAAGTAGAAGAATTAAAGGGCAGCTATGCTGTAGCGTCTATTATGCATTTTTGAAGCAGGAGACGTGATATTTCGCCTATGCCGTCCCCGGGATTCGAACACTGAATCTCTTGATTGCTATCTAGACATGCTACCAGGTACACCACTAGTACACGCAATGTGGAAGGAGAAATTGCTTATATTCTCCCCCTCGTAAAGAGTACTTGAGGAAGCAGGAGACCCATTTGCCAAATCTAAGCAGAGTGAGGTATAGCGGCATCGCATTTTACAAACATTTATAATTATTGGAGTAAAAATGGAGGGAAAGCAGCTATGCCTTCATCGAAATTCGAAGTATTTTATCTCTTCTTGCAGCATGCCTTTGTGTAACGGTAAGCACACTTGGCGCGTATTCGAGAGGTCCAGATTCGAGTCCCGACGAGGGCATTGCTTATCTTTCAAGTCTGTGGCATAAAAATAACCTAATGTCTCAACAAGACTTCTAATCGTTCGAGCTATCAATTACACAAAGGAAGCACGCAATGTGGAAAGCGAAAATTCTTTATAATGCAACATCCGTAAAGTACGGCTTTAAAACGCTTTTTAATTACTTATAGTGACTGTATGAACGTTAATAATACACATTACAAAATATAATTAAAAAGTACAGATTGCTTTTAAATTATTTTTATTTATTTATTTATTTATTTTACTTTTAATGAGCTACATATTTTTATGATGTGGATGATAAATGAAAGAATTTATATCACGTTTTTTGGCAACAGCTTTTTTCTGGCTTGATGCGTAATTTCATTTAAGGAAATAACCATATAATAATAAAACCTCCTCTAAAATATAACACTTTTTAGTGACAATTTCTTAAGAACAATCGCACTAAATTTTATGGCATAGCGATATAAAAATAATTATTCTTTTTTTTTAATCAGCTATATTCTGGCATTTTTAACTGCATTAATTAAGTTGTTTTTATTCTATGTATATTGCCTTTCTAAAAAAGGTTTGTGTATATTTTGCAGCATAACACACTTCCATTTCTAAGAATATAAGGAAAGTGAAATCTAGATCTTAAATATTTGTTAGCGGAACAAAACACCAATTAGCATAGATACTACATCAATATAACTTTTTATTTTACTTACGAAGGAAAGTGAGTTTAGCTACCTATTTACTATCGCGAGTAACTCGCAAACGATGCCCTCAAACAACAACTAAATACCGCACAATTAGCATAAACATTTTGTAAGAAAATAAAAAGTATATGTATATAAATAGAGGATTAAGTACCGCGTGGCAACTTCATGAATCTAAATCACGCGCTAGCAGCGAAATAGTATTAAAAACAATAAAACACGCGAAACTGGCCACCAATTAAAGCTACTTTTTATCTTTCGATGAAGTCTTGAAATAGCTTCGAACTCCTTTCGGCCGGACAAAAACTCAATGCAATTTGATCTTCGAGAAATAAGAAAAGTACTTTGTAGTGTATTATGTTAGGCGAATACAAATCATTTGAGGAAGTAGTGCCACCTTTTTATTACTATTATTATTTCCTTAGGATGAAAAATAGCCACTGGGAAAGATTTTCGGATGTAGGAAAATCGTTTGAGGAAGAAAAGTAAAATGCTTTCGGTTTTCATTTCTTTTGTGGTGTGTTATTCAATTTGGAATGTAGTGGTGCAAGTGAAATATATTAGTGTGTGAAAATATTTTCTATTCATCTTATCTCTTCTTGTCAGAAGTAGTAAAAATTGTGACAAGATAATTTTAAAAAAATCATTATTCTAGAAACTACTGTTTTGTACTCTGCTTTTTCTGACAAGCATCTTAGAAACGGTGAAAGAAATCGTTATTTTTAGTTTCAAAGGTAAAATATTTGGTTTTTGGAAGACAAAATAGCTCTTCTTTCTTATAAAACGCTTCTAAAATTATGTATTCAATATGCCAGCAGTAACATTTGCTAATTGTAAATTATCTTCAATAGATTCACTGCAGTATATCAGTATTTCATAACTTTCTTATCTCAAATGTACTTTTTAGAAGCTTAGAGTAAACGTTTTCAGTAGCTGTTGCATAGAAGTATGTCTATCGTAATGCAAGTTAGCCTGATCGTTAAATTTTAAGTATAATGATTCCGCTATCACCGGCAATGTATGTTAAATAAAGAACTTTTTTGCCATGACTATAATTTGTTTTTCGCAGTTAGTTTATATTTTTGATTTAGAAACATCCAAAATCCATCCATACGACTTAGCAGGTGTTGCCATTGAACGAAACATAAATATCTTCAGACAAATTATCTTCCACTTGGCATCGCAAATAACTATTTCTCAGAGTTATACCGTATAGCAAAGTATAAGGTCTTGAACTTATTTTTCAAATTTAATCGCTCTGTAATTGCTGATCATTTAAAAATTTCGACATAATAAACGATTTAAAAATAATAAAGCGCTTCTCAGTCATTTAACTTTATCAGCCGAAAGGGATAATTTGCCAAGAAGTGCTGTTAATTTCGCTTTGGCTTCTTACCTTGGTTCACTATAAACGGCATTTCAATTTTCAAATTGTTGCCACCAAAGAGCCCTGAATTACATTTAAAGAAATTAAATAATGAAGAATCTGCATGAATGGTATGTATGTTTCTCGCACTGTGAAAAAACAACGGTACATACAGCCATCCAATTTTGAATAACGTACGTTTCCGCCCGAATATGAGCTTTTGGAAGCCCAAATTTGGAATTTGATTATTACCTATTTCGTATTTTGTAACATTTTAACGAATTTTTGATTAATTCATTTTGATTAATTAATTTGATAAATTCAACGATTTCAAAGCGAACTTGTTTATCTTGAGCGCGCGAGATTGTGTATCGGAAATTCTAAAGATATTCTCTTTTTAAATTATTTTGTAATATTTCTGTTGAATTGAATTTTATGGTTTAAGTGTAAAGAACGTGGTATTAATAAATAAAGGTAACACACGAAGCGTTAGAAAAGTGTGTGTGTGTGTGTGTGATTATGGCAAAGCCTCGAGGGCTATCTGCCTAGCCTAAAGGGAGGGATGCCTTCGTAGAGGACTTTCTAAGGGAAACTGGCTCGTATACACGTTACATATGGTTAAAACCACGAAAACGCCCATGCAGCCAGCCCGTTCGCTGGATTCGAACCTCGGACCGAACTACCAGTGTTCAGCGACTTTACCGCTCGGCCGCTGGTGGGCCCCCGTTAGAAAAGAAATGCCCCTTTGGGCGTAATATAAAATCTAAAAGCTTTCACATTTATTTTATTATTTTTATTTTTGTTAACAATATATATCTAATTCATACAAACCATTTAAATTATGGCATATCCGATTACTGAATTTTATGAAAATTTCAACTTTCGTTAATAAAAACTGCTTCTAGTTTTGTCGCTTATGCACCAAGGTACGTGATTTTATTAAAATATGATTACTGATATGTTTAGCAACAAAATTTTGCAATATTCATGCATCCAAGTTTAAAAATGTGATTGTTGATGTGACTAATTCGTCCAGATCAAGCATATAATTGTCGGTATTACTACGTATCAAATCTAGCCATTCACTTGAATGTATCTTGGTCATAAGACGGTCGAGTGTCATTGTCATGCCTTGGCGAATAACTAATCCTCAAATCATATCTTGTTAGAGAGGAATGAACTGTTAGCAGCATTTGCAATGTATTGCTTTTAAAATCTTTTAATTAAATTTCCAGATACAAAAATAGAGAAGTTTCATACTGGTAATTACACAGTTCTGTTTAGCTCTTTACGAACATCTGAGAATTTCAGTTATTTATTTTATTATTATTCGATTACCGCTCTTTAAAAAAAGACATCTGGCAACCGCAAAACTGCACTTACTACTGTTTATACTTGAATCAGGAATCGCGAAACTCTTTAGCAATTAATCACTTGTATTTGACTATTAGAAAAAAAGAAAAGAAAAAAGAAAATCTGAAAGGTTTCAGATTTTAAATTACGTCCAAAGGGGCGTTTTTTTTTTAACATTCTATGTGTTACCTTATTTATTAAATATCATGTCTTTCACACTAAAAACATAAAATTCAGCAGCAATATTACAAAATAATTTTAAATTGAGCATATCTTTAGAATTTCCGATACACAGTCTCGTCCGCTGGAGATAAAAATGTCTTTTCTGTGCAACGTTGCCATTGATCGCTTTGAAATCCTTGAGTTTGTTTATCAAAAATTCGTTAAAGTTTTACAACATATGAAATCGATAATAAAACAAATTTCAAATTTCAAATTTGGGCTTCCAGATGACTGACTATATTCGCAGTAGGATAACGTTATTCAAAATTCGATGGCTCTAGGTACTGTTGATTATCACAGTGCGAGAAACATACATACATTTATGCAGATGCTTCATTATTTTATTTAATTTCTTCAAATATAATACAGGATGATAATAATTGGTGGCAACAGTTTGAAAAGTGAAACGAACATTCGGTTTGATTCGATGCAAAGTTGCAAAACAAAAACAATTGTTCCTTAGGGACAAAAGCCCCTTTGAACTAATAATTACGACAGGCTAGAAATAGCTAACATGATTTATAGTTTATTTTCCATCATTTATTATTTTTATATTACAGTTATTATATTACAGTTTTATTACAGTATATTATTTATACTATAATTTTATATTGCAGTTATGTTTTATTTATGACTAATAAAAATATTC